TCTCATGATGCCTGAAAGAAGTCACAGTATTCATGACTTATAAAAAATAATAAAATTTCTTATAATTTTTATATTTTATTTTGATATTGATTGTCTGAATCAAATTTAGAGAGTTTTTTTTTTCCAGTTTATTGATATAGGCTTCCATTATTTTACTTCCTTCTAAACTTTACTCATATCTATATTCCATATGCTTCATGAACCTTAGCATCTTACCAAAGTCAAAAGAACTAACTTTATTTCATTTATATATCATCTCAAAAGAAATAACTTTGAGCCTGGCTTTTTAAAAAAAGAATTGATTTTTATGAGAAAATTATAATTAATTGAGAGTGTTACACATAATCTTTAAAAAAATTCGGAGTATTGAAAGGAAAAAAAAATTATTTCAATCAAATAATAATTGACATTCTTCACACACACACACAAATTATTGAGACATAGATTAAGTAGGGCTTGCAAAATTTAATTATGTAGAAAATTAAATGGGACCATATTGTGGCGTGTCTTGTTGGAAGAAGTTGAGAAAGGAATCATTTTGAACAAAGGCTTATGAAGAATCAAAGGATGCTTTTTTGGAGTTTCAATCATGGTGTCCTTATCTTGTCCTCATCACAAACCTCACTAATATCCAACACACATATCTTTCCTTAGCAAGATGACCCTGTAGCCTATGGACCATGTTATTTTTAACAAGTCAGGTCTACTTCATTATTGTGCTTTTTGAATCTAAGTTTGCTTGTTTTCTCACAACATTCTATTTTATTTATATCTATATTTGCACCTTCATATTATGCAATTTATGATTTGTGATGGGCGAAGAACGAAGATTTTATGGAGTTTTCTTGTCAAAGAAAAAGTAATCATGGATCCTGTTATATGCATTTTGTTTCTCATTTACATGTGGCTTCTTTCATTTTAACAGTTAAAGGACAGATTTCTAATCATCTTCAAGGGAAAAAATATATTTGTTATTAAAAATAGAAGTTATTAAATATTTTTTGAACTTTCACTTCGATTTCGTCATTTTATTTATGTTAAGAAATAAATAAACTATTCTAAATTTCCCAAACTGATTATTCATAATCGATAATGACATACATATTTAATTCTGACAATATTATGTAGTAATAAAAATGACATATACGTGATAGATTTGAGTGTATATACTACCTCTCTTCCTAAATATAAAAGTTAAATGATTAATTTATAGAGATTGAGAGGCTATTGCCTTTAATAAATGTGTTGATTTTTTCGAAAATAATCTCTTTAATCGTTATGCTGTTGAAACTTTTCTTGTCGAGGAAAACCACTTCAACATATAACAGCAATAGGATTATTTTAAAAAAATAATTATAAATTTGTGAAATAAGGTGGATTGAGGTACTCCTCCGGTCCTTATTATAAGACCCAATTTGACTTTTTATTTGGTCCTAATTATAAAACCCAATCCATTTTATCTTTTATATTTATGCATTTTTTTCCAAGATAATCCTTCTAATAATAATAGTTTTAGCCAATATACTTAATTAGCAAGGATATTTTAGGAATGACAACACTTATTTATTATAAATAACCAACTTAACTTACTTCCTTAATCTCCTCAAATAAGTCAATTGGGTCTTATAATTAGGACCGGAGGAGTATTATATTTGATTTTAAAGTAAACTTTTCAACTAACTCTTATATATTTAAGACAGAAGCTAGTTACTCTTTTGATTCTTAATATAGGATTTAATTTGAGAGTTGATATAAGTCTTATATATAAAATCTATTTGACATTTTTATCAATTTTTTTTAAAATTAACTATATTGATATTCTTTTAACAATAATCAAGTGATATTCCCTCAATAATAATCAAATAGGAGAAGAAAAAAAGACGTAAAGAAAATGATTTGAGTGTTTTATAACGAATATGTCATATTAATTAATTTAACTAATATTTTTAATTTATTCAAATTAATTAATTAGATCTTATATTAAAAATTAGAAAAGTATTTTTTGTTATAAGAATGACACATTCCACACTTCCATATTAAATTTAGGGAGAATTATAATCAGGTCTCACAGAAGAGAAATAATTACCAAAAAGTTCCAATAACAACCTCAACAGCCTATAATGACAAGTCTTACAATGAAAATGACAACTTATAGGACTTGTTTTTCAATTGTTTTCCTTACTTGGAACCTCATTATAATTCTCCCTTAAATTTATCATCTCGCTTTGCTGCTTCTTCCGAGGCTGAGAAGTTCTCGTCGGCTTTGTTTCTCCATTGTAGAGGGTGTCTGTCTGGGGATATGTCCTTGCTGTGCATACAAATATTAATTCCCTGGCTAGCTTGTTAACGATGGTACGGTCCTAAGTTTGTCCTCTGAATTCTGATGATACCTATTGGCTTTGTCACAGAACATTCTGACGAGCCTTCTTCACTGCTGCTAATAAGTCTCAGCAAAAATGTAAAGCAACCTTATGTTTGACTGGAAAGAAAATTAGGAAGGTAGTATGTTTGTTTGAAACACTATCAAATATTAAATATGAACATTTTTTTAAATAAGAATTTGAAATTTGGTTTGTGAGGAACTAGTCTTTTTGATTAACTGAAAATACTTAATAGGAACATATTGTTGAATTTAGGAAAACAATTTTCCACCATTGTTAAACGTGATAGAATTATGTGGTCCTTGTAATATGGATTTTTTTATAAAAAGAAAACTAATAGAACTTATCTTTCACACTTTTAACTATTTGGAAAAAATACATAAGTGAAGACAAATTTTAATAATTTAACTTTTTTTTGACTGAAATAATTTAACTTTTTATGATTTGACTTGGCCGACAGCAAAATTTTGTGGCTTGAACAAATTTGTACTATTCTTTTCTCCTGTTCGTTGATTTTTATTGTCAAATTAACTAAATACATAATATTATTTGGCTTAATTTGAAAGTAGGACTATAATTTGTTTAGTCTCCCATAATTTATAATTGTTTTTTTTTCCAAACCATCCTTTTTAATTTTATATATTAAAGGAGAGTTTCTATTGATAAAAGTAATTTTTAATACAAATAATTCAATAGGTATTTTAAAAAAAATCAACATTCATTTCTTAAAAATAATTAATTTAATTATTTTTTATTAATAAAATACTTCTCCTTCCCGTCTGCATCACTCAAATAATACCAGTAATTACCCAAAACATAAATTTATAATCTATGTTTGATATATTGAAGAGAGAGAAAGAGAGAGGATTTACATGTCAAGTGAAACCTTTAACTTTCTGTATCTTTCTTCTCAAGTGACTGAATAATGACAAGAAACAAAGCCGGCTGCTTGTGCTCCCTCCCGCTCAGACTCCAAATCTTTGTTGAAATAAAGGTTGCTATTCAAAAATGTTTTGGCCCCCAAGTAATATATGATTTTCAATTTGCCCCCTACACTTTTTAAGTGCTACATTCATGGAATGGGAAATTTTTAACTGATGATGGTTAGCTTAAGTAAAAGGAACTTAATATTCCATCTACTCTTAAATATAAAAACTAAATTAATTTGAGTAAATTAAGCAAGTAAAAAATTAACTAATTATAACAAATGTGACTTCATCACCCTAGAATATTTCCTTATAACATTAGATTATATATCAGTCTATAAGTAAAGTAAATTGGTTTGAAAGAAAATGATAAATATAAAAAACAAAATGACTTAAGGTTTTATGTTTAGAACCAAACTTAAACCATAACTAATTGTTATATTGGCGATTGGAGGGAGTAACTTTTAGGGATGATTGAATACTTGAATGTTGTGGAAGGAAAAAAATCACGTTAGAAGAAATGTTCTCTATTTGGCCTCAACAATTGTTGTTTGAATTTGAATTAGCTAATGTTATTGAATCCCAGATAGTTATGTGAAAAAAAAAAGGGAACCAATTTACCCCATAAGATCAATCTTTGGCATTGAGTGGGAGGGTAAAAAGTGTGTGTCTGTGTGTGTGTGCATATCAGAGAGTATGAAGAGGCCGGGTGCAAACCAACACAAACATTTAACATTTGCAGAGAGAAACATGCTTTACACTGAAAAATGGGACCTCACTCTCTATGAATAAGTAAGCAAAGACTGCTGCATTTAAATTTAGTTTTGCCACTTTGTGTAAATGACATGCTTTGAGTTCAAACAAATTATGCCCCCATGTGACCTCTTGGTCCCTTGTGTCTACTATTTAGGACCACTTTCTATCTATCTATATATGTGCCACCTTGTTCTCCACTAATTGTTATCTCAATCTGATATCTTACTCTTCTTTAGTCTTTCTTTGTTTTAAACTTAAAGTTCTGAACTTATTGATTGTTTAGAAGCTGAGAGAATTATGTTCTTGTGGGTGATTTCAAATGGGTTAGAATTCAGAATCTTAAGTTTTCTCTCTTTCCTCTAAAATACAAAAGGTGGGGCTTGTAACACTGAGAAAGGCCACAAGAAGACAATATAATGACTTGCTTGGCATCCATAATATGCCAATTAAGTAAACGTCAATGTTTCTGATATTTTTGACAATTTTAAAAGCGAAGTTACCAATTAATTCACGTAAGGTTAATTTTTCTTTCTCTTTAGAATTTCAGGATTCATTTTTAATTTGATATTTGTGATTGATGAAAAGACTGTAACTAATCATTATTGTATTGCGTTAACAGTATGTAATTTTGACCCTTTTATGTTGCAATTTATGTTCATTGATCTCTCACGAAATTTCATTAAATTGTTGTCGAGGAAATAATCGCATTAAAACTTGAATCTTAAAAAGAAAAGTCTGAAGTAAAAACCTTTGTTTTTTTTTTTAAATTTTAAGTCCCCCTCAAAACCATTAGATCTTAATCTAGTGGCTAATATCTCTCAATTAAGACTTAATGAAGCTCAATTGAGAGAATCAAAATTCCGTCTAGTTTGATAGTAGTAAGTCGAATAATTGAAACTAAAATAAAAGAATGATAAAACAAGCGAATCAACAAAGAGAATGTGGTTCTCATTAGAAACTGAATGACAATAAAGAAAAATGCAAAATTTTTGCAGCTTTCAGCAAAAGAAACTCACAACTGCTGATATTGGAGGCAAGGATGAACAAGTCACAGAAGACAATTAAACCCACTAGTGCTAGAACTACTTGATTAGAATCATATTATGCTATATATAACAACAACAACAACAATATATAAATTTCTATAATGATGATTATGATCATCATCATCATATAATCATCTGTGACAAACACATCTGTAATGGTATGGGCTGTTGACAGGATCATTGCCTTCAACAGGAACCTGCTCAGCTCTGCATTTATACTTGCAGCCTCTGCATTCATTGTAAGTACAAGTTGGTGCTGTGGATCCTATCATCAGTCTCCTCGAATTCCTCTTCTTCCATCCCTCCTTCTCTTCCTGATGCTAAAAAACATTTGATTCTATGTTCAAAATTTACTGCTAATTAAGGTTATGTTTGGACAAAGGACTATGACAGAACAGAACAGGTTTCCCTAAGACAGAAACAAAGTTGCCTGTCTGCAGGATTCCTTTTCTTTACTTGTTATGCTAAATTTTCAAGATTTTCTATTTGAGATTCTCACCTGAAAACTTGGTTCAGTTTGGAGTTGAGAGGATTGAAATACCATTCCTTCTGTTTTGATTCCTGTAACAAACATAAAACCATTCATAAGAATTCAGAATGAGAAAAATCTATATGGGTAAAGAAATTAACACAGTAATACTCATTCGCTGCAGATAAGTTGAAGGGTGCAATTTCACAAGTATATAGCAGACAAGAGAGAATGGTACTAGAAGCATTAAGAGAAGCAGAAACACAAAAGAGAAGAAGAGAAAGATTGGGAGTGTGGAATGACCTTGAATAAGTTTAGGTGCAAGGATTGAGGTGAGGAGTAGAATGAATACTAGTTTGTCAATTTTAGTGCTGGCCATCTCGCTTACAGTCACAGTGTGAAACTTTGAAGAGAGATGTGATTAATAGACTGTGAATATATAATAGAGAGAGACAGGGAGAGAGAGAGTTGTGGTGAATGCAAGAGGAAAAGAGAAGTGTTTGTGGAAATGTGAAGAGAGACAGGGGAGCATGATGAGGAGGTCCCTAAGGACCCAGACCGGCAGATTGCCTCTTGTAGAAACGTCATGGGAACTCTACACTCCTTACTACAATTACTAAAATGTCCTCCCACCGTTTTGTTTCCTTGTTAAAAGAATATTGAAACCTTTTTTCTGCAGGCTCTATGTGCAAGGACTATGTTCAAATAAAAGAATCTCCATATCTAGTGGGGCAGGGAGAAGATAAGCTGTAATTTGATATGTCTGGTGTGATAGACAAGTGCCAAGAAGATGATGAAATGAATGAATGAATGAATGAGAAATCATATTATATACATGGAGGATTCAGTTGTTGAATCATGGGTCAATGGGACTTCAGAGTCTAATGTTGGCATCAACAACTTTAAAATATGTTGGTGTCCAATTCTCCATAAACCTATACTCATTTATTAACTTCCAGAATCTATTTGCTTAGGAAATGATGGCTTCTGCCCCTTGCTTCTTTCATTTTATCTTTGTATTCCTCATTTATCAGCACTTTTGTGAAGCATCTTTTGCTCTCTCTCAATCTCTCTCTAAATAAATTTTCTTCCTTTACACTGTGCTGCTATGCTGGGGATAGTGAAACATAAAGTATGTGTTTGACAATCACTGAGAAGGTTCAAATTGATTTTTGTAAACCTAATTTTGATATATATATTCAAATTGATTTTTTATAAACCTACTTTTGACATATATATATTTGTTTGTTTGGGTGACTCAAAATTGACTTCTATAAAACGGAATGTCAACATGAAATTTGGTTTTGCAAATGAAATAAAAGTTCCTTTTAAACCGGGTTTTGAAAATTAATAAACACACCCAAAAAGATGGAAATACATTCAATTGAAAAAAGAAGGGGGGAAAAAATGAAAAACCTTCTTGTTATCTCATTGTCTTCACTGTTCTTCGTGATGTTATTCTTCATGAAGTGGTAGATTTGTTAGACTCGCTATCTTTTTAAATATAATATACTGTCTAGAAGTAATGAACTTACTGCTCCTCTTTGTCACTCAGTTTCTGACAATTCACTATTTACAAACATAATCACCACGGAATCTGACAATCTTGCCTACTTCAATTCACATCCTTTACATCCCTTTACAAGCTTCAAACTTCCAAGGATCTAAAACGAGAATAACTAGCTCTGACACATGATGATTTGATGATACAAGGACAACCTAAATCTAAAGATATGACCATCTTCATCAGAATGTAAATTCCTCAGGCAGCCCTGGATACATCTTTGACAGAAATGTCTTGTACTTTCTTTTAAGATCTCCACCTGAAAAAGGGTACCAGATACATTATTGAAAATCATTTGTATTGCCAATGAAATACGAAAGAGAGGGTCAGATTCTCAAGAAAAAAGAATGTGTATATAAGGGCAAGGAAGAGACAAGCGGATACCTTTAGTATGGAATGGCGGGACATCTTTAGAAAGAGTCGATTCCACCAGCTTCACAAGATCTTTACCTGCTAAGTCAGCAAAAGATAATGAGAATTCTGAACGTAGAGATCATTGTTAACCTAGAATGAGCACCATGGAAGAAGAAAGGGTAAAGGAAATTGAAGGTCCGGGTTAGCAAAATAGTCTTAAGAGGTTGAATACTTCCCTTCTCCATTCTCCTTAATTCAAACATAACCTTATCCTTATGGATTCGCTTATTAAATTTGAGGCAGCTCAGCTCCCCAGGATAAGGTGCATGAAGGATTTTTTACTTTTTGAGCAATACTTTAAAATCCAAATATTAAAAACTTCTCTTAAGAGGCCACTCTTTTTACACTGAAATAAATTAGTCATAACTTTGTAAAAAAAAAAAAGCAAATTGAAATTTGTTTTAAAATATGAAAAAGGCAGGAGAGTACTAATCAGAATGCATCAATCGATTCCTTATTTGCATAATTGGCAAAGGAGGTCTATTATTACAGTGGCCATGTTTCAGTATATTGATATTCGAAAAATTGTCCTCTAGATGTTTCCATACTTACCAGAAAGAGTCTTTTCCCCCTTGTTGACATTAATCAGGTAGGCAGATATTTGATTGTCTTTCAGCTGTAGGATAGATAGAAAATACATGATAATGAAAAATAGCAGATTGTAAAGAAGTGAAAAAGCAACTATTATTTCAGTCACAACATACTGAAACATAAAATAGAAGAACAAGGTTCAGTTCATGACCTTGGCTAGAAGGGCCTTTGCGAGCTCCAGCGGATCAATACATGAAGGAGCGTGGCTGAATGAAGGCACAAATTTCCCATTTTGATAACCGGTTACCAAATGATAAGCAGCTTGACCAGGAGATAGCTTTGAAACAGAAGGGATGCATTCAGAACTGCTTCAATAGACAAATCACAGATGAAGAAACAGAGGGAACTAAAAATAATAAGAACAAGGGTCATCTTCTGAACTGTAAAGGAGAATAGTAAAACTCCAATTAAAACTTAATATTAGGAAGCACATAGTAAACCTGTTGTCTTTGAAATGATCATTGTGTACAGATGTTATTGAATACAGGTGTTTAATTGTGCTTGACCATCTAAATTAGTCATCAGTTCAAGCTGTGCCATTTAAGAGAATTACACTTGCCGAATAAGAATATATATAATATGCAGTTATAGTACAATGCAGTCATGGGCCACAAAATATTTATGCATGATAAACATTGTGCAAAACAGAACCAGATATCATCGCAGTGCATGCGTTTCTACACTCAAGGTTAGATTACCTATCAGAAGAAACAAGGACAATAGCAGCAGGCAGTTTAAATATATTAGATCCACCAGTATTTCCAGTCTGAAATAAAGGTGCAACACTCTGGGGAGAAAGAATTATGCCAGCATCAGTGGAGATCAAAAAGTTTGCAAGCTTTGAATTGTCTCTTCTGATGCAAATAGTACAAAAACATAATCTCCAGAAACTAGGATCCTGAAATTTGAAACATCCAGTTATTTAAAAGAAAACTTCTATTGAGATCTTGTCATAAGTCAACAAACAATTACCTTCCTGGTAGAGGAATGCCTCCTCTTGCAGATATCACAGGTTCAGACAAAGCAAATAGTGCTTTCTTGATCGCACTGGCATCTGAGAAAGCTTTATCACATAGAATTATGGATGATCTCTCAATATCTGCAGCTACAAATCCATTATTTGACTGATATTCCACACTAATAGCCTTCATCAAAGAAGAACTGCGTAGTCAAAATCAATCATCTCCCCATAGAATCAAATACATCATAGTCCAATGTCTCGAACAAAGGATTCAGCAAATAGAAAAGTAAAACCCATGGCCAGCTTTCTGTAAGAGAACACTGTCAAAAGTAGTCTCACGAACCATTTCAGAAGCACCGTAACATCCAAGAATGACTGCATCATTGATTTCATAGTAGTTTTTATTCGTAACATCATGCTCTTAAAACAGTGGGCCCTGGCTGCAACTTCTGATTAGAGGAAAGAAGTTTCTCTTCTTGAAATTCATTTACCAGGCCCGTTAAAGCATACATAAAATTAAGTCATTGACTCATTGGTGGGAAAAAGTAGCAGCACTTTGTTTGATGAAGATCTTATCTTATTATCAGCTCTTAGCAGAAAACTTTGATTTCAATTCAGTTTTTCCAAAGCTTGATGAAGAACTAAGAAAAGTATACTCAGGTAAGGCCAGCAAACTCATTTTTTAAAAAACTTGGTGTAGAATTGTTTTTTTTGGTGAGAAGTTGGTGTGGAATTTAATTTCACATATTTTGTGTTCAGATTGTTTCTAGGATAACGAGAACAAATGTTACAGTTCAGAGTCAGCAGATTAGTTGCTTTTTTGGACATATTAACTATGCATAAGACGGGGAAAAAAATAAACCCAAAAAGAACTAGGGAACTAAACTTTTCAGCTAACTCATGAATAATACAACGATATGCGCCATAATATCATTTTAGAATAAATGTCATATGATAACATATTCTTCTTGTGAACGATGAAAACAAACAAAGCGATTCCGCCAGTTATGCCTGAACCCCAATAATTTCTCTCTTTCTTTTTCAGGGAAAAAATCCCCATAGTTATTATGTCAACAACGTAAATCATTGAGCGAATCTAATTAGCATAATTGAAGGAATTGACAAAATAATAACGTTTTTCAATTATAGTATAAAAGACCTTATCTTGAACTATTAGCTCATACATGTAATTAGCAGTCCAGTCATATCCTTGTCCCTTCCATAGAAGAAAAATTTCCCAGCCTCCTTTCAAGTTTTCAACCCGTTTATCCTCTCTTGATCTAACATTCTCATATTTATTGGGATATTCTATGTTATTACACATTTTAGGCAAACTTTTCTAGGAATCAAGCATACACATACAAAACTGGAAACAGTTCCACCCTAACACCCCCCCAAAAAAATAATCCAAAAAAAAAAAAAAAGATAATCAAGCAATAATCTGCGCTACAAACCCACACCCAACATGAAAGTTGAGGCAATCACCAAAAGCTCCTACAGGCTAAGTTGAAAATTTACTACATGCTAACACAGCATATGAAACATCACCACTGAAGATTGAAACATGTATAGTCTGAATATCTTGTATATGCCATATATACCTTATAGATGTGGCTACATAAACAGTCAATGGACAAGAATCATGTGAAACTGATCGAGTGTGAGTCTCATAGAGAATATTAGAAAGTGACAGTATTGCCGAAGGACTATCACTTATCACTCGAACCTTTGCATCACAGTCTGGTGATGAACCAATAGCTCCATCATGAACAAATATATTAGGGACAGATGACAGGTGATTCGCCACCTGACATAAAGAGTTTAATACATAAAAGTTAAAAAAATTATATTGCATGCACGAATTATCTTTAGCAAATGAAGTAATGAACCACTCTGCTTCTTCATGAATGGCACTAATATCCACACCATTGAAATATCATTAGGCTAGAGAGATTTTTGCAGGGCCCACACACTGTTTATCTATTTATCTTTTCAATTTACTCCTCTTCCCAGTTTTACTTGGTATCCAAAGAGGGGAGCGGAAATTCTTTTCCGCTCCCTATTTTACTGACATAATTCTCATTTCACATCTCAAAAAATCCTAAGCATAATTTAAATTTAGCGAAACAGTTGGACACAAAATATAACATGAACAGAACATTTTAGCAAAATATATATGTAAGAAAGATCTGAATGCTTCCCCAAGTTTAGATCATACCAGTTTAAGAAGCTTGCCAAACTGCGCCTTTGAGATTTTTGATGCTTCACCAATAACATTTCCTCTCATATGTAGCGGGCATCCAGATAAGGGATCTAATAGATAAATAAAAACAATAAGTTCGATAACAATGTGTAGGAAAGAAGTAATTAAGATCAGAAAGGAATAAATTTCGTCTTACCAGCAATGATTGCACCATGTTGCCTTAGTTCAGATGGGTTTAAGTTAGGTAAAGCTTTTCCCATTACAGCTACACCTTTCAAAGCCAGAGCCCAGTTAAGACCACTAGAAAATCCTGTGTTGTCCCTGTGTTAAAAGAAACATTAGAAAAATACAAAATTTTACATTAAAAATTGAGAATGAGAAATATATCTTCTGATTTAAGTGAGATAGTTTATTCTTGAATTTCTTCAAAAGTTTAAATTGTTGTACCACCGTACAAATTTACATTTTTTTCCCTTAGACTGAGGTAAAGATATTAGTCTCACTTATTTGATAGTAATAAATATTTCCTTTGGCTTATTAGCAGATGAAGTTATGCGCAACAATTATAAACTAGAAGCTACATTAGGAAACCATAATTTCTCAGAAGTTAAAACTTCTAAACAGCGATGCAGATCCATATAAGGTGAGCTTCTAGCGTAGTTGTATACAAGTAATATTGCCTTGAAATGCTTGGCAGTTAGCATTTGCAGCCACTTTGTCATTTACAATCCCCTCCAAACAACTAAGTTAGATATTTGTGCATAGCTGAATGTTGAATGCTAGCTTGAATTTCCTTGCTGTGAAGAATGAAAGAGAATGATAATTAAATGATTTTATTGCTACTAATGTATTTTTTTTATCCATTAAAAAAAAAACTACTGATTATAATCATAGCAAAAACTGACTGTTAAGCAAGAAGGGTGAGCACAACAAACGGGTAATCAGCCTAACGATGACAAAATATACAACAGTTGGAACAGTCAAATCCCTTTCAATCTAAGAAGCATTAATATTAACACAGATAAGCCTTGAACACTGCAACACAGCAAGGCATATTAGTATTCAAACGCAATTTGAAGTATCGTGTCATGTTCGATACAAGTGTTATATACATATGAAACACAATATATTTCCGTTTTGAATTATTGATTCTTCATAGCTGTCGACGCAGCACTTGAAACAGATTGAAGACCCAAAGAAAATATCAAAAAGGTAAAATTACAACCTAGCAGTAGTGTCTCTTTCTGCTTCATCCTTGGCTTTTGGTGGTGACACTGCATTCTGCAAAAGTCAAAAAATTTAGATGATATAATCCTAATGTTTGGAGGAAGAATGGATAAAAGACTGACAGATTTTATTCTGCATAAATACTGGAACAATGGAATTTAGGATGGTGGACACTTTTGTGGGATTCCAGCCGGGAAGCCACATTATTGAACATTGATAATTACTAATTAGCAGTTTGTTTGCTGTGGATAGATGAAAGTCTGGACATTGGTGTTGAGCCATTGTTGAGCACAAAATGTAGGGGATTTAGCAATTAAGGGCAGTTAATATGATCTGAATCGCCGGCGCATGCAAAAGGCTCTTAAAATTTCTGGGTCAGCATAAAAAAGTGTAGTTTGGCGAATGATGCAGGATTGCAAGAGAAATTTTGCAAGTTGAATTCGTGGAGGAACGTTGTTCGCTACTCTGCCACTGTTAGCATTAATTCAGACATTGCAGTTACACCAACGAAAGTCATAAGGAGATGAACAAACTGTCGTGAAATAATTGTGGGATTGGCTTAGCATTAATCAGAGGCTACAGAGCCCATAGAAAAAGCTGTATGCAATCATTCAATAAAAAGAAGTGAAATTGGTTCCAGTATGAATGCGGAAACAGTTTTGTATATTGCCGTGGTGTTGATCAAATCAATGAATGGTGGTGGATTAAATAAAAAGCCACCAACTTAGCTACTCAGCAGCACTAGTAATTAGTTTCCTTCAAACAAAATCATTTTCACGATAAGATTACGCGGGTATAAATTCAGCAAGTCAGGCCGATGATGAAGATTTCAGCTCGAAATCTCAAATTCCAAGTTAAAACCAGGATTCGACATTAACAAGTAAACAAATAACGGATTCACACGATAATTCAGCATTTCCAGCTCCAAAGAAAGAACTAGTAAAATGAAAATCCCATAAACAGAATAGGCACAAAAAATTGGACACTTGCGATAACGAGGAAATGCACGCGTGAGAAAGAGCAGAGTAACTGACCCGTCGGGACGAGAGCAAGAAAGGGAAAAGCGGACTTGAACTTGAGGAGCGAGTGAATGAGGCTTGGAGTCGATTTAGAAAAAGGTTCCTCATTTGTATCAACTACGAGTGGCTTTCCGGTTTCAGGGATGTAGTAACTGAACCAATGCGCTCAAGCGCCAAAAATCGTATTTTTCCACAATAACATTAATCGCTTCCTTTGAACTCCCAGTGAAGAATATAAGCGTGAGATTATGTTTTTTTTTTTTTACCAGAATAAGCGTGAGATTATGTTTGAACTCTGTGTAAAGAATGTAATCGATGCGTGAGGTAGTAGCCGGAAAAAAAAAAAGAATGTAATAACTATCACTTGAATAAGCTTAAAAAATATTTTAAATTGTTTTAAAGTTTTCAATCAAAGTCTGTCTTTGCAAATGATGGTAGCTTCATATTTCTGATATCACGTTTACTTCTTTTTTCCCCGTTGAGCTTAAACAAAGGGGCTTCCAATGGAATGTACATCTGATTCTGGCCAAACATATTATGCAGGCTCACACATACAGAGGATAACAATCAACAGTATGCCAAATACTTGCTTAATTGACGCCTCTGATCATTATGATGGCTCAGAAACTAGTAGTCAAAAGTGTCTGCTGAGAAAAGACTCGACAATACACTATCTCCCAAATTTGTTATCAGTCAATGGACCAATCAATTTTCGAACTCTGTAGGCCACAAAACAATGTCAAATTTCAAAAGTCAACATGCCATTATTGAAAACTAGGAAGTATTATCTGTAGGAGGTGGAAGGATAGTATGATTGATTGAATGGTAATATTATTGTACAGCTAATCATTATTGACTTAATGGCTACAAAAATTAATGAAGCAAGTTTATTATTTCCTCTTATTATTTTAAAGATTTAGTTGTGGAAAAAATACAGTAACGTTGGGCTCGTTTGCGGATAGAGTATAATAATATTTAGTTTTTCAATCATGATTTATAGAATACGAGATTAATATGTGAGAGAAATTTTATCTCGATTTACGTGAAACTTGCTTATAAGTGATTTTAATCGTGATGGCAAACAAGATCATTATATGGTTGATATAACTAATACAACTTAATCAGATGAAACAAATTATTGTTGTTCTCACAAGACTAAATGTTGTTGTTGTTTTGTATGTGTTTCAACTTGGACTGCTAAATGCTTTTTATTCACGTAATTTAAGTTCTAGAGCTAAACTAGTTAAAATACATAAAAGCTCATTCATTCAGACGTCATTTGACAACAAAAAAGCATATATTTTAAGAAACTTACAATATTACCTCATGTCCTATAATATCAATTATATCATAGATAGTATGATACCAAAAAAAAAAAATTAATTCATAACATACCTTCGTGTTTAACTCGTCTTTATTCTGTATAGCAATTGAAGGTTTTTTCTGAAGATATAAAAAGGATGTGCTTTAAAATCCCACAAGTTTTGAGTGGTATGATATGAGTTACCACTCTAAACATGTCATTTTATCTGGTATTATAAATTGAGTCATATTGGATGTCAACTAGCATCTAAATTATTAGAATTAATTAAAATTACAGTATCCCAAATAGCCTTCTGAAATAATGCTGATTGTTTCCTCCAATCACTATGACTTGCAAGTCAGAAATGTCCGCTGTAACAGATTCCACATTCCAACGCCTCCCAAACTTGTTTTCTACATAAGAAGCAGCTTGTGAACCCTAAAATTAAGTGCTAAAACCAAAAAAGATCATGTCTTTGTTCTTTAAAATCTTCTTCTTACTTCTCATATGCTCTTGCAATGCAGAATCCCAAGAACCCTTGGGTAATTTCTGCAATGAAAACACAAACATAACAGCCGGGAGCAAACTATCTGCTAACATTGATCAACTATTAGCAGAGTTAGTGCCTGAAACTCCCTCAAGTGGCTTCGTTTCTGCCTCCTTTGGTAAAGAACAAGACCAAATTCATGGTCTGTCTCAATGTAGGCAAGATGTGAGCAAAGAAGACTGCTCTATTTGCATACAAGACGCGGCAAAAGAGATCAGAAAGAAATGTCCAGACCAAGCTGATTCAAGAATTTGGTATGATTACTGCTTTTTAAGGTATAGTAATCAGAGTTTTGTAGGAAAAGTTGATACATCTTTTGGTATAATTTATTGGAACCTCGAGAATGTGAGTGATCCTGAAGCTTTCAATAAAGAACTGAGATCTCTGATGGATGAGATTAAAGCAGAAGCTGTTATGGCAAAAAACAAAGGGCTGGGAAAAGGGAAGACCGAGCTGTCTTCTTTTGTGACACTTTATGCTTTAGTTCAATGTACAGGAGACTTGTCTGATTTATCTTGCGCTCAGTGTTTGGCTATAGCAGAGAACAACTTCGGCACATTTTGCAGCAATAGTAAAGGGTGTAGAGTGTTGTATAGTTCTTGTTACGTCCGATATGAGCTTTATCCTTTTTTCTTCCCTCTTGATACTAACATCACAGAGCTCAACAACACTGAGATGGCCATTGTTTATCCGTGACTGTTTCAGTGTGATGGCTCTAAAAAGGAATGATTGGCAATAAAGATAATTTTATATATATTTGTGGCACTGGAGGCTACTGCATATTGTTAAGCAGTTGAATTTGAATTTTTATCCTGTTTTGAACAAAGATTCGACCTCAACACATGAAGGATATTCGATAACCTTTAGTACCACTAAACTACCGGCTTAACCTTGGTGCCAATTTACAATAAATAATTGAAATAATAACCATTTCACTATTTTTCAGGGCCGTTACATTTGTTTCATTCTTCGTTGTCTTATTATTTTATCAGTTTCAACATGAAAATCTTGACAATCTCAAAAACAAATGTAGATATTGTGAGTTATGTTGTTTATCAGTTCATTTGAATTGTCTTCTCAAGAAGTATTATACAGTCGGATTCTAAGAGAATCAATCCAGATAAATATGTCATGGTGGAAGCTAATTCCACTTGCATTTGCCATCGGATTAATGAAGGCTTTTCAGCTCATTTGAAGGTGCAATCAAAACACCCATTTAATTAGCATATTAGTCGGCATATAAACTGTAATTCTAATACATCTTCAAAAGCATGTAGTCACTAGTTTCTTTGTTCGATTTTTTTAATTTTAAAACTAAAATTTGAAAATGGAGTCTAATAGATATTTAGACATAGAAATTTTGTTGCTTTTGGAACGAACATGGACGTTGTTGGGTGTGTTTGGATTGATATTGGGTAAAAGTGACTTCTAATTTAACTAATTTTTATAACTGAAATTAGAATAAAAATCAGTTAGTATAATGTGATTTATATTTAGATAGGTGCTTATAAAAAACCAGTTGAAAAAGTTGAAAGTTGTTTAGATGATTAATAAAAAAATTAGTTTAGTTGTAAAATGACTCAAAAGGGTATGAACTTTATTGAATAGTAGTGTTTGAAATTTAATGTTTTTAATACGATAATAGTTTAAAAAAATACATAAAATTATTATGATAAAATATAATTAATTTATTTGTGAAATTATAAAATAAAAATATTTGTTACAGAGAAAAATTTGAAAACACATTGTAGATAATTAATTAAATATATACAATTAACAAACATGAATATAAATTAATTCATTTGGTCTGAATAAAAGCTCATTATGCTAATGAAGGAGATGAGGTAAAGAGAAAAACGTGAGGGTATATCTGGATTGGTATATTTTTAATGCTCTTTTTTAATGATTACCATTTGAAACTGTAATTTAAAATGGAAAAAGTCAAATTTTCTTCTATTGAATTCAACTGAGGTTAAAAGCCACAAGTTGATCAAGTTTTTAACTCCAACCAAACAACTATTTGTGTCCAACTCAGTTGCAAATTTCAGTTTCACATTTTCTTTCTTAGAGCTTTTGCCGTTTCCAACGCAATCCAAATTTGTCAGTGAAATGTTTTGCCCCATCACTGTCATCTTCACGCCTTCACATTTCTCCTTCTTTCTCCTCCTTGGTTCTTTTTTGTTTTTGATCGGTTCTCCTCCCCCACTTAAAATAATATTTTCTGGTGAAATTTTTTTTCATTTTTCTAAAACATATTTAGTCTTATATTTTATAAATATATATAGAGATGTAAACAATTAATTAATATATTTTTATACATTATTTATTATGTTGGCAAAGAAAACTATTAACAAATTTATTATTTCGGTCCTTAATATAGGACCTAATTGGTGCTCCCTCAATAATAATAAGTAGATGAGAGAGGAAGGAAATTAAAAAACATGCTTAGGGTGTCTAAAAAAATATCATATTAACTAATTTAACTAGCATTTTTAATCTACTCAAATTAATTAATTAGATCTTACATTAAAGACAGTAGAATAACTTCAAATAAAAATATAAATTAAAATATATTTTTTAATGTAATTATCATATTAACTTATGTCTTTTTTAGTAATTTGTACATAAAAAAGTGTTTCTGATAGTAATTATCCAACCACTCTCTCTTTATTAGAATCATTTTTACACAAAATCTATTCTTCTAAAATTTATTCTCAAAATCTATTCTTCTAAAATCTATTCTCCTGAAACTATTTTTCAAACTATGAGTTGGTTCTATCGAAAAACCCCTTTAGAGAAAGATTGTTAGTGCTTTAAACTTTTACCAGATTCTAATAATGATAAAAGAACTAATTATTTTTCATGATACAAGCACGAACCCTTTGAGTCTTTGACACAATAATTTCAAAGAAAAACATTATAGAAATGTCAGGTGGCAAAAATAATTTTGTTTTTCATCAACCAAAATAGATATCTTTTTTTTTTGGTTAAATAAAAAATGTGTATGGACTATATGTTCAATGCCACTATTGCCTGCAAACCAGAGGTTCACTTTTAACCATTTAATTCTGTCCAACAAGTTGAATGACACAAGTCGACAAACTTCATTATGAAATCCATAGAAACTTTACGCACATGATAACACCTAATTAGTTTTAGAGTTTGCAAATTGACCAGGTTGCTTATGCTGTGTGGTAAATTGGTCAAATTGTAACATCAGATAGATCAAGATACCTTAAATGCTTCAGTTGATCTATAAAATCTGGTAATTCTCTTATCTCATGATACCCTGACAAAAATAGACTGCGCAACTTTTTGAACCCCAATGAACTAGATATATCATCTCTATCCATCAAGAATAGTTCTTAGTGAGTTATTTCCATTCAATAAATCCACCGAAAAATTAGAGTCATATTTACAAGGAACATGCAAAGGACTTGAAACAATTTTCCTCCTCTCACTATATAAGCAGCAATCAGAACCAACAATTGATAGTCTTCAGTTTTTAATATAAGAGATAAATAACTAATTTATAAATTCAAGAAAATTAAATATGTTAGTTATTTGTAATAAATAAATATCGGTTTCCTTACCATACTTTTTCTAATAATGTGTCTAGGATTTCCTTATTATGAGCAATCAATAAGGATATATTAAAGAAGAAATTATAAATTTGGGAAACAAAATGAATTGAGATTTTATATTTAGTACGAAAACAAGTTCCTTATCTATCTCTTGTATTTAGAACCAATAAAAGATGAACATGTTATTCTCCAACATCTTCTAGAGATTTGATTTCCATTTTGCTAAAGGTAGCATTGCGGCATCCATAGTTCAATGAAATAATCATCCTCATTATATTTCCAATCTTTTAGATATAAATAGCAATAAGCAAAACATTGTCTTAATTCAATTGGCAAATTATCATTGCTTAATTTTAGTATTGGCATGACTGAATTGTTGCTTTCTGAGATAAACATCCAAGAATCACCTCCTAAGATAAAACTTACATAATTTCCAAATAACTTTTCTTTCATTCTCGATTGCAACATACTTCCCACATCTCTTTTCTGTCCTTATTCTGTCCTTGAAGGAAATGTGTGTACCTTAAATTCGACGGAGCAATCTAATCTGCCCACATGATCAGTTTTTCCCCCCTTTTGGTTGAAACGCTGCACTCTACGAAAAAACATAGTAACATCGTTTGCCAAAACAATATCGTATCATATGGTCATCTTTAACTTCTAGCATGGGTTGAGCCTGTTGGACCCCTTAGATTTATTCATGATAACGCATCCCACTCGATTAAATGTGGAAAGGTAAAAAAGATACCAGATTTAACGTGAAAAACCCTCTAGTAAGGAGGGGAAAAACCATGGGACCAATTCCGAAAAATTCCACTATACTAAAAGTCATCACAATGTTCTAATAAATAGTACACATTTGAAGAAAAAAAATATGGCACGTAAACACTCCTAAAATTACTGCTAGATGTGACTGTTTTGCAGAGTCCCAAATGAATTACAAACTCAACCTTAATCATATGTGGTGATTCCACAACTTGAGTGATATTACTCTTTTCAATTCTTTTTTGTCAAATATATGAAAACTGATATTTAAAAATATGAGCACTTCGCCCTGCAAAAAATCACAAACGCAACGTCACAAGAAGTTTAAAATTTTTAGTTATGAATTTGCCATTTTATCTAAATATTCCCCATTAATTATAGGCAAATAAGAACTTGAGCATCTAGTGATTCTATTTAACTAATTCATAACCCTAAAGAATTAATCTCATGCATATATTAGGCTTTTCATGGAAAGCACGTATATTATAGTTTAGTAACTAAAGCATCTTCATGCGCCATATAAATACTGATTACAGAAAAGATCAAGAGGGTGAGACCTACTGGAGTTTATTCTTATTTGGCTTCAATCTTCTGAGGGCAAATTTTGTGTTTTCCAGTACGAAAATATATTGAGAGAAAGATCAATCAGATTGAAGGTCCGCTGCATTCGCTTTGCTGTACACAAAACTGCATAATTTGTTATGAGCCCAATGAAGCTTTCTTGCATTCAACCTGTGACTAAAACAAGCATTGAACAGACAAACCAAAATATGAAAGCTTTCAACCTTGAACAGCCAGCAATATAATTCATTTGCAGTTCAATTCAAATTCAAAACAGGAACGGAGTTTCCTTATCACATTCGTCCAATTCTGAAATTGAGTAATAAGCGAAAATCAATTAAGAATAAGAAGACACGTTGATATAATTTGTGACCCAATTTCTTTTGCTAGATACTATTCTTCTAAATAGGCTTTCAGCATGAGTATATACATTATCTTTTTCATCTTTCAACCTTGGAGTAGGCTGGAGCACCCTTTAGTTGTTATCTAATTTTCGTAAAAACAGAGCAAATAAGAGTAATAATCAAGTTATAGATTACATCTTTGAATGTTTTCAAAGTTTTATAATCCATGTAGCTGGACATAACTAGTTCGAAATTTAAAGGGCGCACAAGTTAGTTGGCGAATACTATAGTAATTATCAATTCAAGTATTAGCAAAGTACCTTGTTTTAAAGCTTCAGTGAGCAGAGCATGCTCTGCGAGGCCGCCTTCTCTTGGATAAAAATGGTCAGCTGCAATCCAACGTGAATTAGTAAGAGAAATGGAGTTTAACAACTCGGAAGAA